ATATTTTTCCTTTAAAATGTTACATTTACTCAGATTAAACTTTTGATCTTTCATCTATGTTATATTACAAATAAAATATTGACATTTGCCATCTCCACATCATTGCATTCAGTTTTTATTCACAATTTGTATAGTGTCCCAATTTTTTGGAATCCGGTTTGTACTTAAAGATGCTGCACTGATGGTGATGTTTAGATTTGAAATCATTTGACATTTAAACTATCTATAGTTTGTTGCTTGTGAAGGTAATTATTGGAGATTTAAAGTAGAGGAATAAACATGTATGCAAGTAATCAGAATCAAAATCAGAATGCCTTTATTGTCATTATACGCAGTACAATGAAATTAAGAGCCACTCCTTTTTCCAGTGCAAAAACACGCCTTAAGAAAACACACACTAAACACACACTAAAAATATAAAAAAATGTAACACAATATAGATATAATAATGAAAGTAAAAAAATACAAGTATTTCACAATTATATTGCACATTATGGATATTAGTGAGGTAGTTAAGGTGACTGAGAGTATGAAATGTCAGTAGTATTGCACAATAGAAGTCCAGGGGTTTGGGAGGTTAGATTATTAAATCAGTGTATGTGTGAGTTCAGTGTGGTGATGGCTTTTGGGAAAAAACTGTTCTTGAATCTGTTTGTTCGTGTTCTGATGCACCTGTAGCGCTTCCCTGAGCAAGTCAAACAGTTCAAAACCCAGGTGTGAACAGTCCTTGATTATGCTTTCTGCCTTGTTGAGGCAGTGTGATGTGTAAATGTCCATCAGGGAGGGGAGAGGGCAGCCAATTATCTTTTGTGCTGTCTCGACTACTCTCTAAAGCCTCTCCCTGTTAGCCAGGGTGCAGCTGCCGTACCATACTGAGATGCAGTATGTCAGTAGGCTCTCGATGGACGAGCGGTAGAAGGTCAGCAGCAATTTTGTGTTCAGGTTGTGCTTCTTAAGTAATCTTAAGAAGTGTAGTCTCTGCTGAGCCTTCTTGATGACCGCTGTGGTGTTCTCTTTCCAGTTTAGGTCAGCAGAGATATGGACACCAAGAAATCTGAAAGTGTGAACCCTCTCCACGCACTTGCCATTGATGTAAAGGGGGGCTAGGTTGGTGCTGTGCTTCCTGAAATCAATAATTACCTCCTTGGTTTTTTTGATATTCAGAGCCAGATTTTTCTCTGAGCACCAGGTTGCTAGCTCCAGGACCTCCTGTCTGTAAAATGTCTCATCTCCCCTTGAGATTAGTCCGACCACTGTGGTGTCATCAGCGAACTTGATGATGAGGTTGTTGTTGTGGGCCGGGCTGCAGTCATGGGTGTAGAGACAGTACTGCAGGGGGCTCAGCACACAGCCCTGTGGGGAGCCAGTGCTCAGCGTACGAGTGGAGGAGAGGTGGGGACCAAGTCTTACAGATTGGGGCGGATTGGTTAGGAAGTCTTTTATCCAGGCACATGTGAGTGAGGGGAGGCCGAGATTGTCCATTGTATTTATAAGAATGTCCCAAATGATTGTGTTAAAGGCCGAGCTGTAATCCACAAAGAGCATTTGAATGTAGCTGTGCTGTTGTTCCAGGTGGCTCAGCGCGGTGTGGAGAGCTACTGCAATAGCATCCTCTGTGGACCTGTTGGTGCGATATGCAAACTGGTAGGGGTCAAAGTTCGGAGGGAGATGGTCCTTGATGTGCTGGAGAACCAGTCTCTCGAAGCACTTCATGATTACCGGAGTGAGAGCCGGTAATCATTCAGGCTGGTGATGGTAGGCGTTTTCGGCACTGGGATGATGGTTGCAGATTTTAAGCAGGGAGGGATGACTGCCTGGGCCAGGGAGAGATTGAAAATTCTGGTGAAGGTGGGGGCAAGCTGGAGGGCACATGCTTTGAGCACCCTGCCAGGTACTCCATCTGGGCCAGTAGCTTTCCTGGGGTTCACTGATTGGAACGAACGTCTAACATGATGCTCCTGTACAGTGAGTGGAGTGGTGCAGTAACTGGGTGGGTGTGGGGGCAGGGCAGGATCAGATGGGTGCTGCTGTGGTGCATCAAAGCGTGCGAAGAAGCAGTTTAGCTCCTCTGCTAGTGATGCACTTAGGTCTCCTGTTGTCACCTCACAGCCTCTATAGTTTGTGATGTTTTTTATGCCCTTCCACACCTCCCGTGAGTTGTTACTGGACAGATGGGACTCTGTACTCCTTTTATGGTCAGCCTTTGCGGTTTTTATCCCCTTATTCAGGTTGGCTCGAGCAGCTCGGTACAGAGCTCTGTCACCTGACCTGAAGGCAGCATCGCGGGCTCTGAGGAGTGTGCGTACCTGGCTGGTCATCCATGGTTTCTGTTTGGGGTAAACCCGAATGTTTTTGACCATAGTCACATTTCCAATGCAGAACTTGATGTAGTCCAGTACTGTTCCTGTGTATGTTTCCATTTCCTGATGTTCAAATAAGTCCCAGTTAGTTTGTTCAAAACAGTCCTGTAGGTCATCGAGTGCATTACCAGGCCAGGTTGTAACAGTTTTTGTTGTAGGCCTTGCTCTGCGTCTGAGGGGGGTGTAAGCTGGGGGGAGCAGGAGGGAAAGATAGTCTGACTGCCCGAGGTGGGGGAGGGGTATGGCTCTGTATGCATGTTTAATGTTCGAGTAAACATGGTCCAGAGTGTTCTCCCCCCTAGTAGAACACTTGACATGCTGGTTGAATTTTGGGAGTGTAGTGTGCTAAAACGGCTCAGTTAGCTTCAGAGCTCCTCTACAGTCATATTTTAATATTAATGGGTTCTCTCTTTTTCGAGCTACTTGACAGATATGTGACAGAGGTACTGTACGTAGATGGTTTAATCAGTGACATGAGACGTTAATTTTCTTTGACCCATCAAAATAAATGTGATCATTTATTAACAGAATCACAATTTAACATCAAAACATTGTACACTTGATTAGACTGATCTGGTTCTGATTAATAAAACTTGGCACATTTTACTTAATAAAAACAACAGACATTTCTGAAGATATCTGGATTAATTACTGGCAAGATAGAAGTTTAAAGATGGGAAATGAAGAAGTTTAAATGGAGAGAAAAGATGGATGAGGGAAAGTGTTTTGACTAGGAATGGCACCCTTCATCCGACCCCAGCTCAGCCCCTGTACACTCGGTAGTAAAGCGACTCGTTACCTTTGCAGAAGATAGGTCAGCTCCCGTACGGAGTTCCATTTCAACGCTACCTTCAGCGTCTCCGGTCAGGATGGCTGAGAATCGTCCGAAGTAGTGACGGTACTCCATTCAACAAACACGCTCATCTCCCGGGTGGATACACAGCAAGCTGTGAGTCCGTCAGAGGTTCCACTCAGATGTGGAAGACTCCATAGTCCCAACTCGACTCAGAAGACTGAAGACTCAAAGGAACTCAAAAGAGACTCAGAAGAACTCAAAAGACTCAGAGGAACTAACAGTTCCAGGAAGTGTCGACTTTTAAAGAGTTCTGCTTCCGGTCACTTTTAGGAAGTCCTGATTGGTTGAAGCAGCCAACAGGGGTGTGGTTCTAGTGACGTCAAAGGGTTTTTACAAGTCGAGAAAACAGCAGAAATGTTTAGGAACAGACAGAGAAATGTTTTGACGAAGTGAGAAACACTGCAGGTGCCAGTTCTTTTGTTTACTGTCTGAGAGCTTTAAAAACACGACAGCTCGTTCCAACAACTTGTTTTCGACTGTCTCCAACTTTTGACCGACATCACTCTCTCATTTCAGACAGAAGATCAAAAAATGCATAATTACTTTGTAAAATAGACATTTAACTTGATTTCTAATTTGAATGAGGATTAAAAAATCATTAATACTGTTTCACAGTTGATTTAAAATGAGTGGTTCACTTCAACATTTAAAAATGGTATGAACTAAACACACTTTTGATTATCAAGATATTGTAAAATAGTAATGATATTATAAAAAAGAGAGTGTTCTTTCAATTGATTAGTTCAGGATACAATTAGAAAGTCTCTGGATGAGCTAATTTGTATTTCTGGATTCAAATCAATGAAATAACAGTTCCTGTCCCATGAAGGTCTTCAGAGGCAGGTTTTGATCGGAGGCCTAGTTCACTACAGGAGTACAGTCTTCAGATTAGCCCTATTGAAATCTCCTGCAATTATATGAACTACTACTTTTAATGATGTACTACTTTAATATTCCAATGTATATAAATATTTAAACCTTTTTTTTTTTACGTTATTTAACTTTTATTATTATGCAATATTTTATGTAGGTTGCAACTTTAATTCAATATAAAAAGTCATTTGAATTCCTGGCTGTTAGACAACATAACAGATAAATTGCCAATATAGTCAGTATTTTTGTTCATTCACTGTATGACTGCACAAGCTGTTTGTTTACATCACATGTTTGCAGTCCATGCTTGTCATCCATAAAACATTTATCAAAATGAAAAAACTGCAATCTGGCCATGTTTAATATTTAAAAAATGTTAAAGTAAAAGGGGCGTAACAGTTATTTTAATAATTTAAAGTCAAGGTTTAGTGTTTTGACCATAGTTCATTGCAACAAACATTACAGTAAAAATACAGGTCTTAGCTTCAGTTTGTGGGGATTACATGCTGAAAAATGCTTTCAACACATCACTTTCACACAATATTGTTCAAAACCCGAAATTTAAAAATATATTTTTCATAATGGGAATACTCATCCTCCACTTCCTGTAGCTCTGTCGCCTCCTGAAGCTGCAGGTGGCTAATGAGAGGAAGATCTGGGTTATTTCAAATGGACATTTCTCAGTTATAAAGCTGTAATATTTATGAATGTGCAGTTTTACCTACAAATGTTGGTTGACGAGCCTTGAGAGGCCTGAGTGAGCAGCTGTGTGTGTGTGTGTGTGTGTGTGCGTGCGTGCGTGCGTGCGCAGTTTACTCCGACCTGCTTCCTTTGCTTCACTGTCTTTGTTCTCACTTTGCCTCCTTCCCCCTGTTTTCACTCATCTCCATTCTGTCCTCTTTCCCTTCCAGACACAGCCCCTTCCGGCAGCACAAGACCAAAGACAAACATGAGATAGACCGCATGACGCTGACCATGGTAAGACATATCTGTTCTCTCATAGATACAGACGTTAACCAATAAAGTTTTTCTGTGTAAATAACAGTAAAGCAGAAGGCCGCACACAACACATAGGTTTAGATTGTGTTTGACTTCCAGTAATTCAAAATGCACACACACATTTATGTCTCCACCTGTCCTGATGTGTGTGTGTGTGAACAGTCAATGTTAGCATACTGCATGGATCGGTATATGTACCTGTGCGGGCTGTAATCAGGTTGTGCTGCAGAGCTGAATGACTTTGTTGTTGGAGAAACTGGGTCATCTTTCTGTGTACCTGCTGGGGACCATCCAACTCTCCACTGACTGTTCACTTTGTCACGGGGAGATGACGGGCTCTGATAGAAACCTGGCACAGAGAATCTGAGCCAGCAGTCGCTGAGGTCGGGGGTGGGGGGGGGGAGCAGCATCACATTAGTGAAGTTGGAGCAGGAACTGTTAGGACTGGCCTGTTTGGTGAAATCAATAAAATAAATCACAACACTTATAAGTCTTATTAAAAAGTGCTGCTCAAAGCCCACATCTGTCTTATTTTTAAACTTTAACATCAAGCAGAATCTAGCCAAGTGTAAGCACAAATGTACAGAAGGTCATTAACAAACACCAGCAAAACGTTTTTTTTACAGTTTTTATTTCACCTGCAGCGTGAGTTGTGTTGGTTCTCTTCAGTTTGATTCATGCTGCCAGCTGCAGGAGGCTTATTTAGGACTGAACGTTTTACACCTCATGTCCCAAGCAAATGGTGCTTATTAAACCTTCTCATGCAAACGATCCCCTTCTCAAGCCAAATCTGTGAAACTTCAAACGTGCACTCACAATGTAATCATAAATGTAGGCCAAGGAAATTCAATACCACACAAGGCAGGTATGTTGTGGGGAGAGATAGGCAGCAACATAATGTACAAGACCTAACATACAGTTTTACAAGGCGTGCATGTGAAAATAAACTAATTTTCAAAACTGGGCTCCATAAAATGTGGCTGTGCTGCTCATTTGTTGGCAATCATTCAGGATATGATGAGACTGCAACAAGAAATTTACTTATTTTCACTCAATTTAGAATCCAGCATCCAATGAGGTACTGGTTTTACTGGGGTCTAATGTTTCAACACTTTAACTTTTTAAAGCTTATACTGTCAGCAGCGAGTTTTCAGACACAATACACTGTTTTTTGTTTTTTTTTCAATCTTTTTACCAGTTGCTGAAATTCCAACAAGGTTTCTCTTATTTCTGTTTTTCCTTTTCTTCAGGATTTTGTTGACACAATAAGTGACTCAAAACTGATGTTACTGTTGTCCTGAACTCATTGTAGGGGGTACACTCTTGCTTGCACATGCATACATTAATCCTATAACTGATCATCCCTGTAGCTGCATGTTTAGAGTGTTTGGGACCTTGTTTTATAAAAAGTCTCTATCTCACTATCAACAGTTGTAGTGTAAATGTTGCGTGTCTGAGGAATTCACTATGGAGCCTTTTTCACGTCACAGTTCACATTCTTTATGAATGATGTCCATTGAGCCCACACAGTGACACTTCTGCCTCTGCCATCCTCTCCTGACTTTACATTAACAAGCTGCAGAGTGAAGCTTCACTGCTGCTTCACAGCACTGCTTGTTTTCTGTCACTGTGGAACATGTCCAAATCTCTGCTTTGGTCCCTGTGAGGATACTGGTCACAACAAGTTACCAGAGAAAATCCTAACAAGTAAGAAAAATCAAGTATACACACCCAGAGACCTGTTTGACTTCACCGGAGTCTAAACAAAGAAATCGTAATCTTTGGTATCAGTATAAATCCAGATTAGAATTTTAATCCAGCCACTAGGGCATTAACAGAGTACTCGAGTAATCTACACATCGATTGCTAGAACATCTATCGAGGTTAAAAATGTAAGGTCGAGTGTCCGTAGTGACGTCATATTACGTGACCACCGTATGACCGTAGGGGGCGGTGTTGCACTGTTGCAGGTCACAAAGTATGGTGTAACACAGGGTGCAATCCACCGAACCAGAACCAGCTTCCTCTTGTTTCGCTAACAAAAAGCAAAAAATATTCATCTCTAAACCTATAAAAAAAATCTAAAACGTATTAATCTCTAAAACTAAACTTAATGCGTACCACAGCTGGCGGTGGTGCGGGGTGGTCGAACCCCCCCCCCCCCCCCCACACACACACACACACACACACTGTTAAGTTTTGTTTTTGACGTGCTGCATGTTTCTTCACATTTGCAGTTTAATAATAATAACTAATAGTTTAGTTTTTCCTGTGACTTATTTGCAGTATGATAAATGGTAGGAGCATAATATACGCTTCCAATGTTTTGTTGGTCTTGTAGTGAACTAAGCCTCAGGTCAAAATCTGGCCTGACGGCCCGCCTGGAACAAGAACTGTATTTCATTGATTTGAGTCCAGAAACACAAGATTAAGTTCATCCAGAAGACTTTCTAAGTGTCCTGCACTGATCAATTGAAAGAACATTCTCTTTTTTATTATCATTACTATTTTACAAATGTTTGATAATCAAAGTGTGTTTAGTTCAAACCATTTTTAAATGTTGAAGTGAACTACTCATTTTTAATCAACTGTGAAACAGTATTAGTGATTTTTAATCCTCATGCAAAGTAGAAATCACGTTAAGGTCTGTTACAGAGTAATTATGCATTTTCTGATTTTCTGTCTTTGAATGAGCAAGTGTAAGTTGGTCCAAGGTTGGAGTCAAACGCAAAACAAGTTGTTGGAACGAACTATCATGTTTTTAAATCCTCTCAGACGTAAATATAGAGGCTGGCACCTGTTTTCCCCCAACTCGCCTAAATATTCCTCTCTCTGTCTCTAAAAACATTTTCAATCTGTTCCAAAACACTTTCTGTTTTTCTGACTCCTAGTGACCTCTTACGTCACAAAAACACACCCCTGTCTGGTCGAAACGACCAATCAGGAACCTCCCAAATGAACCGGAAATAGAACTCTTTAAATGTCGGTACTTCCTAGTTCAAACCAGTCGCTTCAGGCTCCGGCTTCAGTCGTTCGCAGCTCCAGTGCTGGAGAAAACAGGAAAATCCCGACATGATCCGCAGTTCTTCCGAGTCTTGTGGGGATTATGACATCTTCCACCTCTGAGTGAAACTTCTGACGGACTCCACTCATGTGAGTCCACCAAGAGGTGAACTTGTGTCGAACAAGTACCGTCACTACTTCGGACGATTCACAGCTGTTCCTACGGAGACGCTGAAAGGGTGCGTTAAATGGAACTTCGTACCAGTGGAGACTCCTCCAGGTAAAGAGTTGATTTATACCACCTAAGTATACCGGGGAAGAAGCTGGGAACTCACCGGAGAGTGCCGTTCTGATGCCGACACACACATTTCCCTCATCCATCCTTTCTCTCTCCCCCTAAACTTCAATTTCCATCTTTAAAACTCTTCTTTTTGCTAGAAATCATTCCAGATATTTTTAGAAATGTCTGTTGTGAAGAAAGAAAACCATCGCCGTATGGTTAATCAAATTGTACAGCTTGCTAACTAAGCCATGTTGTTATTTTCATTTTGCCAAATTAATGTAAAAGTATGATGTTAAACTTTGATTCTGTAAATAAATGACCGCATTCATTTTGATGGGTCAAAGAAAATTAACGTCTCACGATACATTTTATTAAATTCAATGCACGACATTATTCAGTCCAGAAAAATGAAAGAATCTGTTTAATTTATGAATATATCACAGAATATGTTCATCTACAGTCTTTTTTTTTTTTGTAAATTATTACCTTTTTTTGCGGTTTTATTTATTTATTTATTTTTGTATCTTGAGATCTATGATGTCATCAATTACTCGAGTTCTACTCGGGTTTTATTATGTTAATGTCGAGTTTAAAAATTATATACTCGTTCAACCCCTACCAGCCACTTAATGGAGTTTAGCCTCTAATTCTGGTCCTAGTCTGTGTATGAGTGTGGGTCTGTCTGTGTGTGAGTCAGAGGCAAGGAGAGTGTAAAAGTCTACTATTCAGCCACAACAGGGATAAAATATGTCTCTGTATGTCTTAGTGTTTATTAAACGTGATTAATGGCCTCCTTGCCTACAGACGGTAGAAGCAGACAGCAAGGCAAAGGCCAAGACACAACAAGATGGATGGAACAGGTTGCAGTCCCTGTCATGTGTTCTCTGGAACATCTTCATGAAACACTTGGGAAAACTGATCAACAACAACAAAATGACTGATTTTTTTAAATACAGCAGATATCATCCATATACTAGTGTGTGTGTGTGTACATATACACATATACATATACATATACATATACATATATATATATATATATATATATATATATATATATACACACACAGTGCCTTGCGAAAGTTTTCGGCACCCTTGAACTTTTCAACATTTTGCCACATTTCAGGCTTCAAACATAAAGATATAAAATTTTTATTTTTTGTGAAGAATCAACAGCAAGTGGGACACAATCGTGAAGTGGAATGAAATTTATTGGATGTGTCGAAACTTTTTTAACAAATAAAAAACTGAAAAGTGGGGCGTGCAATATTATTCGGCCCCCTTGCGTTAGTACTTTGTAGTGCCGCCTTTTGCTACAATTACAGCTGCAAGTCTCTTGGGGTATGTCTCTATCAGTTTTGCACATGGAGAGACTGAAACTCTTGCCCATTCTTCCTTGCAAAACAGCTCGAGCTCAGTGAGGTTGGATGGAGAGCGTTTGTGAACAGCAGTCTTCAGCTCTTTCCACAGATTCTCGATTGGATTCAGGTCTGGACTTTGACTTGGCCATTCCAACACCTGGATACGTTTATTTGTGAACCATTCCATTGTAGATTTGGCTTTATGTTTTGGATCATTGTCTTGTTGGAAGATAAATCTCCGTCCCAGTCTCAGGTTTCTTGCAGACTCGAACAGGTTTTCTTCCAGAATGGTCCTGTATTTGGCCCCATCCATCTTACCATCAATTCTGACCATCTTCCCTGTCCCTGCTGACAAAAAGCAGGCCCAAACCATGATGCTGCCACCACGATGTTTAACAGTGGGGATGGTGTGTTCAGGGTGATGAGCTGTGTTGCTTTTACGCCAAACATATCATTTTGCATTGTGGCCAAACAGTTCGATTTTGGTTTCATCTGACCAGAGCACCTTCTTCCACATGTTTGGTGTGTCTCCCAGGTGGCTTGTGTCAAACTTTAAACAACACTTTTTATGGATATCTTTGAGAAATGGCTTTCTTCTTGCCACTCTTCCATAAAGGCCTGATTTGTGCAGTGTACGACTGATTGCTGTCTTATGGACAGACTCTCCCACCTCAGCTGTAGATCTCTGCAGTTCATCCAGAGTGATCATGGGCCTCTTGGCTGCATCTCTGATCAGTCTTCTCCTTGTTCGAGATGAAAGTTTAGAGGGACGGCCGGGTCTTGGTAGATTTGCAGTGGTCTGATACTCCTTCCATTTCAATATGATTGCTTGCACAGTGCTCCTTGGGATGTTTAAAGCTTGGGAAATCTTTTTGTATCCAATTCCGGCTTTGAACTTCTCCACAACAGTATCTCGGACCTGCCTGGTGTGTTCCTTGGTGTTCATGATGCTCTCTGCACTTTGAACAGAACCCTGAGACAATCACAGAGCAGGTGCATTTATACGGAGACTTGATTACACACAGGTGGATTCTATTTATCATCATCAGTCATTTGGGACAACATTGGATCATTCATAGATCCTCACTGAACTTCTGGAGTAAGTTTGCTGCACTGAAAGTAAAGGGGCCGAATAATATTGCACGCCCCACTTTTCAGTTTTTTATTTGTTAAAAAAGTTTGACACATCCAATAAATTTCATTCCACTTCACAATTGTGTCCCACTTGTTGTTGATTCTTCACAAAAAAAATAAAATTTTATAAATAAATATAAAAAATAAATATAAAATCTTTAAGTTTGAAGCCTGAAATGTGGCAAAAGGTTGAAAAGTTCAAGAGGGCCGAATACTTTCGCAAGGCACTGTATATATTCCTGCATTGCGAAGAACCAATAAAAAGCAATGTGAACTAGTATCCCTGTAGTAAGTTTAGACATATCAAGCCTTCTGAATCACTTGTATCCAACATGCAGTTGAAACCAGATGTTTACATACACTGTATGAAAAGAAACACTATTTATTTCACTGTGACATAAATCAGACTAAATGTTTTATCTTTTAGGTCAGGATATCCAAAATTATTTCTGTTTATTAAATGCCAAAATATTATGAAAGAGAAAATATTTTAGGTACTTTTTGTTTATTACTGTACTCTCACCAAATTAAAAGCCACTTTATATTTGGTATCATTGTCCTTAAACTGTTTGACTAAACAGTATGCTTAGGATCAATGTCCAGCTTTAACTTCCTGCCTGGTGTCTCAAGATGCTGCTTCAATATTTACACATAATGTTCGTTTCTCATCTATTTAATGTTGGGCTGGGGAAAGGTGAGCCTGAATACAGGCTCACTAACTTTGCCCTTTTTCCCCTCATAATTTAATAATGGGCATTTTATTATAGATTCCCAAGACTACAGAATGTCTCCAAAAATGAAAGTCTTAGTTTTACCTAGGGACCACATGTAATGAATAAATTACTCTCCAATATCTGCTTTTTATGTGGCGCATTCACACGGGGTAACCAAAGCCTGAGATGTAGCTGAAATTTACGGACATCTTCCAGATATGATGTTAACATGCTGCTAGTCACATTAAGCTCAGATGGACAAACGGCCGTGTGCATCCACTGACCTGCCAGTTGAAATGGGCTTGCAACCTGTCCAGGGTGTCCCCCACCTCTCGTACAGTGATGACTGGACATGGGCACCAACGATCCCCGCTACCCGAAAAGGAAGAAGCGGGTAAATATAATGGATGGATCGACGGACCGATCAGCTGATAACCGGCTGCGCGTGTCTCCGCACCTGCTGTCATCTGCTGTGAAGGAAGTAGCAGCATCTACCAAAGCCTAAGCGAGCAGCGAGTTCATTTAAAATAGCCCTGTTCTATATTTTTTCAAATGATTTTGCTTAAATAAAAACAAAAACCGTCTCATTACGTATCAGATTCCACCCATTTCTGTCCAAATCACAGAGATGTCTATTCACATTAGATTAGTATTATCACAGGACCTCGGAGTTCAGCAAAATATAGTAGGTAATTTGCGGGGGAATTTTAACTTTACAAATGACTGACATGGTCGATTCACACGGGATTAACAACACAGACAATCTCTGTAATTAATACAAATAGTATGTGGTCCCTATGTAAAACTAATCCCATGCGAACAGGGCTTTAGTCTCTGTGCATTTGCAAACTGAATCTGGCCTTTTTTAATGTTGTTGGAATTAAGGGTTCTTGTTCCTGAGCAGCCTTTAGGTCCAGGACTTCAACCAGCATCTTCACAGATCTTACGCTTTGGATTTGAGAGTGATGATTTACACCAAAATGTGTTCATCTCTGGAACACAGAACCCGTCTCCTTCCTAGTGGTTTGATGGCAGGACGATCCCATGGTGTTTATTCTTTTTGTATAATGGTTTGAACAGATGAACGTGGCACCAAGGATGAAAAGTTGTGGAGGTTGACAGTTATTTTCCTGATATCTTGACTGATTTTTCAAGGATATCAAACACAGTGCTTCTTTGTGGGAAGATTCACTCTCGTAATTTGGCCATTTACTAGATAGAAATTATTTTGGGAATACATTTAGTCTGATTTATGGCAGACAGAATAAAATGGTCGTCTATTATGCAATGTGTAAACAACTGTTGTCAACTGCATTTATCCAGTTTATCGATCAGAGAGTGAAAGACACAGGTGTGAGGTTACCATAGAGATCATAACGAGCTGTTATTATCAGCTTTGAGATTTCTTTTGATCTTGCTTCAGTTCTTGTTACACATATTCAGTTCTTACATACAACTGTAGGTATTGTTCTTAGCTCAGATGTTTCCAAAGGTAGATTTGAATTTTGGGCAGCAGCTGCATTATCACCTTTCAAACTGGCCTAAGAATTTTCTTCACAGAAAATCACTTTAATGTTACTGAAGTACTTTTTAAAATAAATCCAAGGCTTGCTTATGTTTATCAAGTAAGATCACAGTTGATGAATGCATAAACAAAGTTTGCCAAACCAATATTTTCACTCATTACAACCAGTAGGTCCAGATTTTCCTCTGTCACTGTTTAACAACCTCAGCACCCACCTCCACAGAGCTGTGCCAGTTCAGGGCTTGCAGATGGGATGTGTGGAAGCGCTGTTGTCTCAGATTTGTTCGTAACGAGGTGGCACAGTGTCACCTTGAAAAGCATTAATAAGCGTAAATGTTGATCTATTTTCAAACACTCCATTCTCATGCTGACTCCCCTCCCCCTTCTTTCCTCTTTCTGTTTCTCGCAGGATGTGGAGCTGCCAGACTCTTTCACAGCAGAGCTCAAAGATCTCTTGGAGGGGCTGCTGCAGAGAGATGTGTCCAAGCGGCTCGGATGCCAGGGCCATGGGTACAACACACACACGCAACCTTTGTCCCTCTCAGTGTCCACACACCAGTCAGGTGAATTTTTATTACATAGTGCTCATTTCAGCTGGAATCACTGGATAGTTAGCTAATTGAGGATGAGCAGAGGCAGACATCAAGTGGTCTAATGGAGGCTGAGTTCATCAGATTTTTTTTTTTTCAAATCTAAAGCAGCTTTGTCTAAAAGGCATGATTTGTTTGTAACTGCAGAGTGATGCAGCCTGTACTGCCACCTTGTGTTCAAATGAAAAGTAACACTTTGTGTGTGTGTGTCACTCATGCAGTGCCTCAGAGGTGAAGGAGCATCAGTTTTTCAATGGCATCGACTGGCAGCAGGTCTACCTACAGAAGGTGAGTAATCGCCATCCATCAGTTTCCACATCTGTTTAAAACACAACTAAAAGATGATTAAACTTTTATTTATGACTACACAGATCTTGCATCAGTTTTAAGTGTTTTAAGCATACCTATGGCATCTAAAACAAACGTTTGTCATTTTTTCTCCAAATTTGAAACAAATCTGCAGCATTTTAGGAACAAACTATACCCTGCATGATTTTTGGTTGTATAACTTGAGATTATTACTTCTATATAGTATTACTTTTAACATATGAAACTTTTAAAGCTTTGGGTAGCCAAGACCTAATATGTATATTTCTTTAAAACATGTTTTTTACTATGAATGGGAACACAGTTTTATTAAATAATTATTATTTAACTAATGTATCACAGCACAAAAGTTTTCAGTAAAGTTATGTTATACGTCTACATTTTTAAAAAATAATATGATATTGTTAATGATAATGTTGATAATGTTAAAGTTAGGGTCTGTAAAATATGGATTGTCTGAGTGGAAAATGTGTAGGAACCCTAGAGCATGGAAACTCCACACAGAAACTCCTCAGTGAGTGTAATCTGCGACCTTCTTGCTGCGAGGCAGCAGTGCTGCTAACCCAGCTGCACCACCCTGCAGCCCAGAACACATGACTGTTCACACAAACGCTACTAAACTGTTGTAACCTTAAAGTCCTCCAGCAAAGGCCTGCACTCGCTGGGCCCTGGATTTGTAGTTTTAAACCTTCCTGCTGTAGGACTTCACTGACAACACCTGCAAGAGTGCAGCCTGTTCTTTGCATATTGGAAGTTGGTAAACAAAGGAGATTTTAAAAACTGACTTCTCTTGAGCAGATTAAACAATAAGTTTATTTTTAAATAAAATATCTGTGGCCTTCATAGTTCAGCAAAAGTATGTTTTCCACACAACCTTTAAGACATTAAAGTTCATGCTGCATAATCCAGGTAAAAAAAATCCAACAAAGGTAACTCAGATCCTCTGGACGGTTTCTTTTTCCCATAAGTTTGCTAGTGATAAGCTGGTTTCTGCAGCCCGCCCTCTCCCCCGTCAACACCTCTGAGGCATCCATAGCCAAGAGGTTCAAAACAGTCTCAGACTGATGAAGTCCTTTGGATGAAGGACGAAACGTTTCAACACAAAAAAAAAAACTGTCCAGAGGACCTGACTGAAGTTTGTTGGATTTTCTACCTGGATTATTGAGCATGAACTTTGATGTTCTGAACCACTTTGACCATGGCTGCCTCAGAGGAGTTGACGGGGGAGAGGACGGGCTGCAGAAACCATCTTATCACCAGCAAACTGGTTGTCCACTATGTGGGTAAACCACTTATGGGACTGAGTTTATTGTGGCTCCTTGAACTGATGAAGTCCTTTGGATGAAGGACCAAACGTTTCAACCAGAACCACAACAAATAAAAAGAAACCATCCAGATGACCTGAGTTAACTTTGTTGGACTCTTTGAGACAATTTCACTGGTTCTCCTGAAGTCTATAACTTTATTAAAAAGCAGAATTGACATAATTCTGTTGTCCATCAGGATGAACATCAGGCTGCATCAGTTTAGAAAACAGGAGCTATTCATTGTGAAGCGCTTCATGCTTTGTGGTCTTCATCTTAGTTTTTAAATTTTATGGGTTTTCTCTTTTCAAAAATAAATAAATAAATCATCCACTGCTGTTGGACCCAAGGTCCAGACATGGACCTAGCTTTAAAGCTACTCTGGATGGAGCTGCATGAGTCATTAGTTCACTGCGGTTACTGTTGCCATGGAAACCACCTCACTCCATGGAAAACACTACAAAGGGAGGGTTGCGTTGTTGTTGTTATGGTCATACTCCATTTCTTCTGTATCTTCCTCTGTTAGTGATGCTGTTTTTGTGCTTATTCTTCCATCTGTGCCCCCCACCCCTCTGATATCTCTTTCTACCCCCCTCCCTGCAGTACCGTCCTCCTTTATACCCGCCCAGGGGAGAAGTGAATGCTGCAGATGCTTTCGACATCGGCTCCTTTGATGAGGAAGACACCAAGGGCATCAGGGTAAAACTTCAACGTGTTCTTAGGCTACATTGTTTTTTTTCTGACCTCCCAGCTCAGGTGATGGCAGTGTGTCATCACTGGGCATCAGATTTACACTCTGTACTGGAGTGTGCAGCCGAAGCATCACTGCTGCAAGCAGACATCATCTGATCTTTAGAGTTGATCACTAACAGCTTCCTCAAACCATTGGACCTCCAAGGGACAACGAAGACTTTATTTGATCGAACTTATCCACCTTATAACATGTCATTTAGACATTATTTCCATCTCTTTTCTTTACCCAATGTTCCTTTCCAGGTCACGGGGATACCCCGGTATCCCTTCATTAAGTTAATCACAAAATCTAAAAAAGTTAAATCTGGTCCTCTGGACATTCAAAAAAAAACAAAAAAAACAAAGCAAAACAACAACAAAAAATGTAGAAACGTTTCGTCTCTCATCCGAGAGACTTCCTCAGTCTGAGGTGCTGTATTCAGCTCAGTCTCTTAAATAGCACCTTCTCAGAGTGGATCAACCAGTTTTGCTGCTGACAACCAAAACCAGCTGCTCACATGCTCAAGAAGGACCATCAGCCTAACAATGGATCATTAGCACCCTGATGGCTGTTTACTATTCACAGAGGGCTGAGTGATACTAGCAATCACAGCATTGTAAGAGGGGGACAATTGAACACGTAGGCCTCCACCCCTGTTTAATGATGGACGGTTTCTTTTCACAAAGATGGCCTCCTTTACTCCTCTCTCAAACCATCGTTCCTCTCTATCCAGGATGTGCACATCTTCATCCCTGAAAGAGTGACCGCTGGCCTGGAGATGAGTGTAGACCGCAGAGTCCTGGCCTGATGATGTTGATCTTCTGTGCTAGGCCATCCTTTTGGCCAGTGGCTGTTTTGTTTCCCCGATGTAAGACTGATCACAGCCCTCCTGACACTGAACAGCATACACAACATTACTCTGTTTGTGCCGGGGGACTGGATCTTTGGGATGAACCAGTCTTTGCCGTAATGTATTTTGGGGCTTAAAAGCCACTGGGACGTTATGTTTAGAAAATAAACGTCTCAGTTTCTCTGATACTCCCTCAACATATGGAATGACCACTGGTCTGGGTCTGGGTTCCTCCTTTTCACCTGTTGGCTGACTGGAGTCCTGTTTGGGTTTCTTCTCTGCTTTCAGGAAGGCCCAGTTAGGATATCCACATTGCTCTAGAGCCTGTCTTGTGTGGGATTTCTCCTTCTGCCTGGCTCCTGAGCTAGTGGGGACTCTGTCTGCTCTGTGATACAGAGTCCTGATGACTCCTAACTTGTGCTCCAAAGGGTGATGGGAGTCAAACTGCAAATACTGGTCTGTGTGGGTGGGTTTGCGGTACACCTCAGTTTGCAAATGTCCTCTATCAGAGACTGAGACCTCACAGTCCAAGAAAGCCAACTTGCCATTTTTTTCATCTTCTCGTGTGAACTTGATGTATTTATCCACAGAGTTGATGTGGTCAGTAAAATGTTGGACTTCCCGAGATTTAATTTTAACCCAGGTGTCGTCAACATACCTGAACCAATGACTTGGTGGTGTCCCTGAAAAGGACGTCAAGGCTCTCTTTTCTACCTCCTCCATGTACAGGTTGGCAACAATAGGAGAAACTGGAGACCCCATAGCACACCCATGTTTCTGCCTATAATATTGCTCCCCATATGTGAAGTAGGTTGACTGCAGGCACAGTTTCAAGAGTTGACACAGTTGTTCTGTGGAAAGCGTGGTCCTGCTGCTCAGAGTGGTGTCTGATTTTAATCTTAAACTGACCACCTCTACTGCATCATCAACAGGAATGCACGTAAAGAGTGATGTGACATCAAAAGAGACCATTGTTTCATCAGTCTCCATGATGACATCCCTCACCTTGTCCACAAAGTCCATGGTGTTCTGCATGTGGTTTTCTGAGCTGCCAACTAAACGGATGAGTACAGACGCCAGATATTTGGAAACATTGTAAGTGACAGAGTTAATCATGCTAACGATTGGTCTTAAAGGTACACCTTGTTTGTGGATTTTAGGTAAACCATACAGACTAGGTGTGGCCTCCCCTGGGTACAGTCTGTGGTACAGAAAACGGTCAATAGCCTTGTCCTGCTCCAAAATTGTCAAGCAATCTATCAATTTCTTCTTCTAACCACTTCCTGGATCTCTTTTCTGAGGTTCATAAGTGTTTAAGTCACTAAGGAGTGTCATAACTTTTTCATGATAGTCTTTCTGGTTCAAAATCACTGTGCACCTTTCTTTGTCTGCTGGGAGAATGATGATGTTTTTGTCCTTACTAAGAGTGGTGAGTGCGTCCCTCTCCTCTTTACTGATGTTGGAAGGTGGTGGTTTGGCATTGCTGAGGCAGGCTGAAACTTTGATTCTGAGCTGTTCTGCTTCAGCCTCTTTAATTTTGTTGTTGCGGATGGCTGACTCAGTAGCTGTGATCATCTCCACCAGAGGAATTCTACTTGGTGCAACCGCAAAGTCCTGTGAATGTCCAGAGGACCAGATTTACCTTTTTTAGATTTTTCTACCTGGATTATTGAGCATGCATCAGGGTCATCACAAAATCATTTAGAGATTGCATTTTCAAATGTTTTCATTTTTTAAAACCTTGAGACTGCCTTCTGACCTCAGAGGTTCATCAGGTGTAGATGTACAGTACATCAAATAATGACGTCCTGAAAGTTTCATTAGAATAAGTCCAAATGGTTTGTGAGACATTTTGCAAATGGACAGACAACACTTTGGCTCAGGATGAAACAATATAATCTGCCTTTAAAACGGTGCTTTAATAAACATAGAAAAAGAAATATATTAAAAGGTCTAGATTTTAAATTTTTTCGTCACTTGTATCATTAGTGCACCCCTACAGTTTTTATTTAAATGTTGGTCAAATTCACAATGAAGAATCTAAGAACCTGGAGTCAAAGTGGAAACATCCAGCAAACTGACTGAGAGCTGAGTTTGTAGCTCTTCAGAGTAAAACACACAGGCAGCGTACGTTGTGTGCCAAAACTGACACCTCCATTACTTTCAGGGATAAATCTTCGTACTCACTCCCTGATGTACATCTGGGATCTGGTAGCAGCTCTTTTTGTATGCATCCATTGTCCATTGTTCTTGTCCTGTGTAGTTTATGTCGTTTCATATCAAACGTGAAAAGTGAATGAGCACGTCTACTTTTTTTAGTTAAAAAGTTTGCAGAAATATACAACCTCAAAACTTGTCATTATAAAGACAATGGCATAAAAGATGTCGGGTAAATCATTGTTAAAGAAAATTTCTATTCTGATGAAGACAAAAGTCTAAACCCTATGTTATAAAGTCGGTGTGTTAACACGTCCTGTGTTTTGTATATTAACTGGTGCGGTTCTTGCGCTGCAGCACCCTCCATGAGTTATCAGCTAAAGGCTGATAGCTTTTCTTTCTGACCTGCAGGTTTTTCTCAGAGCATGTTTAGGGCAGTGCTTCTCAATTATTTTCTGTTGTGCCCCCCCCAACGCTCTGCCGCGACTGTAAATAGTATGTCTATAAAATTGTTATACGTATACCTCTGCCTAACATTGTGTCCTTATTAACATTAAAGACAAAAAAAGAATATAGATCAACTTACAACAAAGAATAACTTTATTAACATTGTTTTTTAGTCTGTAACAAAAACAACTTGCATCAATTTGCATGAAAAAAAAACAATCCTTTTTTAAACTGTAAACATTTTGGACCATTTGATACTGGAAAATAAAATAAAATATGATCAATAAATAATAATCAATTCAAATTTATCAGCAACATTTTAACTCAGGAGTGTTATACAAAACACTTTGGCCTACAAAACAAAAATGAATAAAACAATTTATGCTGATTTTTTTAAATCAAAATGAGGAAGTCAGGATCAATGAGCACACTCATCGATCAAACAAAAAAAAAAATTGTCAACATGAAAGAAGAAAGAGTGAGCAGGTAACCCTCTCACTTTGAGTTTACTCTTTGACAAACGTCCAGAGCATCAAAAAACAGCAGCTTAACTGAGGAGGTGAATTTATTTTGTTAGCAAAGAATTGAGTCCTAACATTTATTAAACATTACTTCTGTAAATTGTGCTTTGACAAACTCATCGATAAAACAAAAACATTTTGTCAACGCAAAAGAGGAAAGTGGGGGCAGGTGTCTCTCTCGCTTGAGTTTACTCTTTGTTGCATGCATGCTGTAAGTGACGTCCAGAGTGCATGGACATAAAACCATCAGCGGAGGACGGAGAAGGTGACAGTCGGAGTTTATTTGTCGTGTTGACAGCAGAGGGGATAGACACGGTTCATGCATGGTTCCCAAAATGACACGGCAGCTATATTTGTTCATAACTTTATTAGTAGGAACACATATGACAGAATGAGAATGGTGAAGAAAAAAACCTACTCCCTGCATCAAAAAAGCATGTTTTCTAGGGTCACATGCGCCCCCCTTGGCATTGTGCCCTACTATTTGAGAAGGACTGGTTTAGGGTGACCTAATTTGTTCATGAGAAAATCAAAATCTGTCTTGAACTTATTCCTGTTTGTCAAAACATGTCTGGTAGATTATTTGAGGTCACCAGTTTTCAGCCTTTGTCAAGTCGTCCATGATGAAGATTGTATAGGTATATGGGGCTGGATATATATTGTTAATTATCAAACAGAGTAATGTTGTGTATGCTGTTCAGTGTCAGGAGGGCTGTGATCAGTCTTACATCGGGGAAACAAAACAGCCACTGGCCAAAAGGATGGCCCAGCACAGAAGATCAACATCATCAGGCCAGGACTCTGCGGTCTACACTCATCTCCAGGCCAGCGGTCACTCTTTCAGGGATGAAGATGTGCACATCCTGGATAGAGAGGAACAATGGTTTGAGAGAGGAGTAAAGGAGGCCATCTTTGTGAAAAGAAACCGTCCATCATTAAACAGGGGTGGAGGCCTACGTGTTCAATTGTCCCCCTCTTACAATGCTGTTATTGCTATTATCACTCAGCCCTCTGTGAATAGTAAACAGCCGTCAGTGTGCTAATGATCCATTGTTAGGCTGATGGTCCTTCTTGAGCATGTGATCAGCTGGTTTTGGTTGTCAGCAGCAAACTGGTTGATCCACTCTGAGAAGGTGCTATTTAAGAGACTGAGCTGAATACAGCACCTCAGACTGAGGAAGTCTCTCGGATGAGAGACGAAACGTTTCTATATTTTTTGTTGTTTTGCTTTGTTTTGTTTTGTGTTTTTTTGAATGTCCAGAGGACCAGATTTAACTTTTTTAGATTTTTCTACCTGGATTATTGAGCATGCATCAGGATATTTTGAGGCTGAAGTCTCCTCAAAGTTCACCTGTCATCTTAGAGGAACGAGGGTCCATATGGGAGGCAGCTGGGATTTTTCCACTCCTCTGCGGTGGGATTCTGGAGCCCTGGGTTCTGGTTCGGTCAGGTTCTGTGTCTTTCTCTCATCCTGAGACGTCTGCAGAAAGGATGCTTCTCTCCTCAATTCTCTTCCTAGGATGTCTCTCTAGGAGGATGCGTCTTTCTCTGAAGTTTGCTCGAAGTCCAGTGAAGTGTGTAGAAGAAGTCGTAGAAGTAGATGTGAAGAAGAAGTGAAACTTAACTGTCTGTGTGTTACTGATTGACTTTGGTCCACCTCAGGAGGGGGTGGTCTTTGGTCTTGGTCTTTGGTCTTTGTCATGTTTTTTTATAAAGGCCTATTAAATAAATATAGTCCTTTTCTCTCTGTCTGCCTTAAAAGTTACTCTTTTAAAAGGGACAATAAGACCAAATATATTCTTAAAGGGAGATTACTGAAAACACACATTTTCATGAATAAACATTCAGGTATAAAATAAAACAGAAATTACATTTTGGAATTAATAACATGGGAAAGTACCACAACTGTGGAAGACCTCCTGTGTGGTACCAGTACCAAAAACCAAACATCCCAAGGACAGAGCTGGCCTTCTTGATGAGCTTATCTAGCTTCTTCTTCTCAGCTGATGATAAGCTGCTGCTCCAACACAAAACACCATAGAAGATGGCTGATGCCACTACCGAGTCAAAGAAGGTCTTCAGGAGCACCCCCTGCACTCCAAAAGACCTCAGCCTCCTCAGCAGGTAGAGTCTGCTCTGACCCTTTCTGTAAAGTCAGAGTCAGTCAGAGTCAGAGTTTCTTTATTGTCATTCGCACCTCATGTGGTACATGTGGTGGAGCGAAATTATGTACACAGGGTCCCAGTTACATCCAACAATAAAATGTCTAAGAAAAACAGTAATAACATCTAAGATATGAACTAAGAAAAACATCAACTAAATATACACTAAGCACTCATAACATAAAACATTGAACATCAGCACAAACATGAACATGAGTCTGTGAGCAGATGTGCACGCATGAACACATCAACATTGAAACAGATCAGCAGCAACATGAAACAGATCAGCAGCAACATGATATGGTTTTTCACAGTGATTATTCTAGTTAGAGATTAATGAGTCTAACAGCCTCAGGGTAGAAGCTGTTCCTCAGTCTAGTGGTTCTACACTTAATGCTCCTTAACCTCCTTCCTGAGGGGAGTGGGGCAAAAAGTGTGTGTGCTGGGTGGGTGGGGTCCTTCATGATGCAGGTGGCCCTCTTCCTGCATCTGGAGGTGTAGATGTCTGTGATGGTGGGGAGGCTGATTCCAACAGATTTCTGTGCAGCCTTCACCACTCTCTGCAAAGCTTTTCTTTCTGCAGCTGTGCAGCCTCCATGCCACACATTGATGCTCGAGCACAGGATGCTCTCCACTGCACACCTGTAGAAGGAGGTGAGGACTGAGCTTCCCAGACCAGCTCGCCTCAGCCGTCTGAGGAAGTAGAGTCTCTGATGAGCTTTCTTGATCAGGCTGGTGGTGTTGTTGCTCCAGCTGAGGTTGTCATTCATGTGTACACCCAAGTACTTGTAGCTGGAGACCACTTCCACCGCAGATCCTCTTATGTTCAGGGGGGTGTAGGTGTTTTTGTTCCTTCTGAAGTCCACAATCATCTCCTTTGTCTTCTTCACATTGATGTGAAGGTTATTCTCTCTGCACCAGCTCTCCAGGTGTTCCACGTCTTGCCTGTAGCTGGACTCATCATTGTTTGTGATGCATCCCACCACCGCTGTATCATCTGCAAACTTTACAATGTGACAGCCTGGATGGGTAGCTGCACAATCATATGTGAGCAGAGTAAACAGAAGGGGGCTCAACACACATCCCTGAGGAGAGCCAGTGCTGAGGGTTATGGTGGAGGAGGAGAGATTGTGGATCCTCACTAACTGTGGTCTGTTTGTTAAAAAGTCTAGTACCCAGTTGCAAATGGAGGGGCTTAGTCCTAGTGTGGATAGTTTGTCCATCAGGGTTTGGGGGATCATGGTGTTGAAGGCGGATGTGAAGTCCACAAAGAGCATACGGACGTAAGAGTTTTTCTGCTCCAGGTGGTTGAGTGCAGTGTGGACCACAGAGGAGATTGCATCCTCTGTTGATCGGTTCTCACGGTATGCGTACTGATGAGGGTCCTCGTTGATGTTGATGGTTGTTTTGATGTGAGTCATGATCAGTTTTTCGAAGCATTTAGCGACTATCGGGGTGAGGGCCACTGGCCGATAGTCATTCAGACCAGTCACTGTAGAGCTTTTTGGGACTGGGATGATGGTGGCAGTCTTCAGGCAGGTGGGAACTGTCTCCAGGGTAAGTGAGGTGTTAAAGATGTCTGCCAGCACCTCACAGAGCTGATCAGCACATTCCTTCAACATCAGTGTTGTGAGACCAGTCCAGTTTATTGTTCAGGTGAACACCCAGGTACTTGTAAGAGTCCACAATCTCGATGTTCACACCCTGGATGTTCACCGGGATCAGTGAGGTGGACCTGTGCCTGCGGAAATCCACAACCAGCTCCTTAGTTTTAGCAGCGTTGATCAGGAGGTGGTTCTTCTGGCACCAGTCCATAAAGTCTTGAGTCCGCTGTCTGTACTCTGAGTTGTCCTCACCTGTGATGAGGCCGACTATGGCAGAGTCATCAGAAAACTTTTGCAGATGGCAGTGTGGGGAGTCGATGGTGAAGTCTGCAGTGTAGAGGGTGAAGAGGAACGGTGCCAGCACAGTTCCCTGTGGGACCCCCCGTACTGCAGACCAGCATGTCAGAGACACAGCCCTGTGTCCTCACATACTGTGGGCGTCCAGTGAGGTAATCCAGTATCCACTGGGACATGTGGTGATCCACTCCTGATAACTCCAGCTTGTCCCGCAGAAGTCCTGGCTGGATGGTGTTGAAAGCACTGGAGAAATCAAAGAACATGATCCTCACAGTGCTTCCAGGTTTCTCCAGGTGGGTCAGAGCTTGGTGCCTGAGGTAGATGATGGCGTCATCCACCCCGATGCCAGGCCGGTAGACAAACTGCAATGGATCTAATGAAGACCTCACCAGGTGGCGCAAATTGTTGAGGATCAGCCTCTCGAGGGTCTTCATCAAATGTGAGGTCAGAGCCACCGGCCTGTAGTTACTGAGCTTGTTGCTTGGACGCCCCCTCGACCCAGTGCAGGTGGTGGGAGACAGAAGGACTCTAGCTAAAATAAAATCATTGCTGGACAACGTCTCCCACCCCATGCATGAAGCTGTTGCTGAACTGGAGAGTTCGTTCAGTGACAGATTACTGCATCCTAAAAGCACAAAGGAGCGTTACCGCAGGTCCTTCCTCCCAGCAGCTGTTAGACTCTACAACCATCACTGCTCCCAACAAACTCAATAAAGATTAAATACATGCTGACCTCTGCTTAAGCATACACTCTGCCTGTAATACTGTACTGTAAATAGTCTGCCATTCTCAATGTTCCAATACATATTGAAAATTATTATTGATATTGTTTATCTTATTTCTTATATATTGTGTTGTTTATTAACATTTAGGAACTTTTGTGTGAAATCTTTAAATCTTTTTATCTGTTGCTGCTGATACACTGGAATTTCCCATCCGTGGGACAATAAAGGCTGTTTCTATTCTATTCTATTCTAACATGCAATGTTTCACCAAAAGGTGTCGCTGTCCATCTCCTGAAAAGGGAATGTCATTAAACAAAGGGTTCTTATGGTGTTATCTTCATGGGAACCATTCTGGGAGAAATACTCCTTTTTGATAAAGGAAGATATCAAAGCAGCGAGTTCAGATGTTTCAAAAACTCCCAAAGTCAGTTGAACCAAAACTCTCATTAAAATGATCTGTCCGTTTCATGGGAAATGAGTTCATGGCAGTGAAGTTAACACAGTGACAGTTTTTTTTTTTATTACATTTACATTAGTGTCAACTAAAAAGTTAGTGAGCTGAGTTGAATATTTGTAAAACAATGTTAGTTTGTTTGTTCTCAAGGGAATAGATGAATCTTACTTTTTAACAGTTTCAAACGCAAAACACAGGAATGATGTTTGTTTGAGATGAGGTGAACTCTTTTTCTGAGGTGGTGTTCTCCTACAAGATAAATGAAGAGGAGACATTTTGGTGTTCTTACTGAACTGAGTGTTCTGTCTTCATTTTCTGTTTGTTCTTCAGCTGCTGGACAGCGACCAGGAGCTGTACAAGAACTTCCCTCTGGTCATATCAGAGCGCTGGCAGCAGGAGGTGGTTGAGACAGTGTATGAGGCAGTCAACTTGGACACGGACAAGATTGAGGCTCGCAAGAGGGCCAAGAACAAGCAGCCCGGCCACGAGGAAGGTGCTGAAACCAGCTGGGTGTGTGTTTGTACGCTGCAAGAATCGCTGTCAGATTCTCTAACAGTTTGTTTTTGTGTGTGCAGACTATGCTTTGGGGAAGGACTGCATAATGCATGGCTACATGCTGAAGCTGCGGACCCCGTTCATGGCCCAGTGGCATCGCTGCTACTTCTATCTGTTCCCTAACCGATTAGAGTGGAGGGCGGAGGGCGAGACACGGGTGAGTCGGCCTCGCAGGATACACACATTAAAGTCACATAGCTCTCCATGTTCACACTGATGTGAGTCAGTTTGTGTGTTCTGGAGCAAGGCTGTTCTGTTAGTGTGTGAACATTGTCTATCTGTTTGTCCCGGCGCCCCACTGAAGGAGAAGTGGCTCAAACCTGTTAAAAAACAGAAAGATGGGGTGAGTATTGCCACCAGGTTCCAGCAGGTTTAGAGATGACACCCCACCCCTTGCTTTACACTCAGTAGTGCTCTTGTGCGTGCAGCCATGTTTTTATTTGCAGCTTCCTGCAAACCTCAACCTCAAGTGTAGAAAAACACGCAACAAATTCCATTGTGTATTTATTTATTTAACTAAATCAAAACCAAAATGGAAAAGCTGTATGTGAAAAGCTAAGCCCTTTCTTGCCACTTCCACCATGTTCAGAAGGGAAAGTATCAACCAGGAGCTGCTGATTAAATTCACTTGAATACGTGATCATATCTGTGTGACCACATCTGTAAAAGCATGAATTTAGAGCAGTTTGCTGCTCTGGAGCATACAGCTGTGTGTTAACGCAAAGCCAAAGAGAGTAGACATCAACAATGACCTTAGAGGTGCTGAATCTTGCTACTTTTTATCTGATGATGTGATATTTTTGTTAAGCACTTTGGTAACAGTTTCTGTTTTAAATGTGCTCTATAAATAAATCTGACTTGACTTGACTAGAGAAGCAGCTGTTTTGGACACCAATCTTGGAAGAATAATTGTAATTTACAAAAAATTTCAAGCCAAAAGAAAGATTTTTTTTTAATGCAGACCATTTAAGAAATATGCCAACCTTCCCAGAAGTGGATCAGAAGAACCACACAACATCTGGATCATGTCCTTTGAACAGATGAAATCAAAGTAGAGGTGTTTGTCCCTAATGTTCACCGACATGTTTGGAGACAGCCAAACATCAAATTAGCACAAACCCCTCATACCAACTGTGAAGAACGATGCTGGAGGAGTGATGATTGGGCTTATTTTGCTGCTGTACGAACTGGGCACTGCACAGTCACTGACCCATGAACTCGTCTGTAGATCAAAGTATTTTAGACTCATGTGAGGTCATCTGTCTGACAGCTGAAGTTTGGACCAAATGCTCATGATGCTCCAGAACAATGATCATAAACACAGCAGCTAATCTAAAATGGTAAATGAATTGTATTTACCGTATTTTTTGCCCTATAAGTTGTTTGTGTATGTGTGTGCATAATTTGCATGCCCTGCGACTAGTAAAAGTAAAAGTGCTTTTAATGACAATCGGCTTGCCATTCAAAGCCACCTTCGTCCAGCTCGCCTGGAGCAACCGTCAAATCAGCTTCATTTCACTGGGCTGCCCCGGCGAAATGCAGCTAATTTGCCCATTGAAGTGCATTTATTAAGTAAAAGTTCAACTGAGACACACCGTTACTATGTTGAACAAACAAATAATTGTTTAAGGTGGTTATCTTATTAAATTTTGAAGAAATGCACATCGTTCCTTCTTCCTGATTTCCTCCCTCAGAGCACGCTCCCAGAGCACCGAGGCAGCTAATACTTTTGAAATGCAGCTGATTTGACCATTAAAGTTCATTTATTAAGGAAAAGCTGGACTGAGACACACCTTTACTATAATTTCGAGCAAATAAATAATTGTTTTTAAGTGTTAATCTTGTTAACTTCTTGTTAAAGTCCTCCCGTGCATGCTCCCGCCATTTGGCAGCCAATCGATTTTTGGCACAACACGGGCCCTCATTTATGGGTTGTCAGCGGTGACACATAATAGATGCAACATATTTATGGATTTTTCCACTTTATTAGACATTTTTGGACGGCTGCGACTTATACAGTGGAAAATACGGTATATAGCACATTACTTGCCAACCAGGCAGCCATACTGCAGTGTTTCCCCATCTGTTATCCAAGGAAAGTGCCCCGCCCTGTCATCAAAAGCAAGCGCACTAATGTAGTTCTAGATCAGGTCTATTCAACTAAACTGCTTGAGGGGCCACAGTTATTGAAAGCCAAGAGCTCAGGGGCCAGACATCTAGTAGTTATTCTCATTAAGTAAGGTTGTTTTACGATTTAAAAATCTAGTTTTATTTAAAAATAAACCCATTGGTTGGCCGAACTGGGCACACCTGTAGGCCTGATTTGGTCCCCGGGCCTCCAGTTGAATAGCCCTGTGCTAGAGTCTAATCCCTGCTTTGAATCCCATTCTTACACTAATGAGGCACACATCAGAGGCATTGGGTTCAGTGTCTTGCCCATGGACACTTCAACCTATGACTGCATATTACGAGGAATTAAACGTCTGACTGGACGTCAGTGGACAATTGCTCTAACCACCGATCTACAGGTCCTTCTCAAAAAATTAGCATATTGTGATAAAGGTCATTATTTTCCATAATGTAATGATAAAAATGAAACTTTCATATATTTCAGATTCATTGCACACCAACTGAAATATTTCAGGTCTTTAATTGTTTCAATACTGATGATTATGGCATACAGCTCATGAAAACCCAAAATGCCTGTCCCAAAAAATTAGCATATTTCATCCCACCAATGAAAGACAAGTGTTTTTAATACAAAAAACGCCAACCTTCAAATAATCATGTTCAGTTATGCACTCAATACTTGGTCGGGAATCCTTTTGCATGAATGACTGCTTCAGTGCGGCATGGCATGGAGGCAATCAGCCTGTGGCACTGCTGAGGTGTTATGGAGGCCCAGGATGCTTCGATAGCGGCCTTAAGCTCATCCAGAGTGTTGGGTCTTGCGTCTCTCAACTTTCTCTTCACAATATCCCACAGGTTCTCTATGGGGTTCAGGTCAGGAGAGTTGGCAGGCCAATTGAGCACAGTAATACCATGGTCAGTAAACCATTTACCAGTGGTTTTGGCACTGTGAGCAGGTGCTAGGTCGTGCTGAAAAATGAAATCTTCATCTCCATAAAGCTTTTCAGCAGATGGAAGCATGAAGTGCTCCAAAATCTCCTGATAGCTAGCTGCATTGACCCTGCCCTTGATAAAACACAGTGGACCAACACCAGCAGCTGACATGGCACCCCAGACCATCACTGACTGTGGGTGCTTCACACTGGACTTCTGGCATTTTGGCATTTCCTTCTCCCCAGTCTTCCTCCAGACTCTGGCACCTTGATTTCCGAATGACATGCAAAATTTGCTTTCATCCGAAAAAAGTACTTTGGACCACTGAGCAACAGTCCAGTGCTGCTTCTCTGTAGCCCAGGTCAGGCGCTTCTGCCGCTGTTTCTGGTTCAAAAGTGGCTTGACCTGGGGAATGCGGCACCTGTAGCCCATTTCCTGCACACGCCTGTGCACGGTGGCTCTGGATGTTTCTACTCCAGACTCAGTCCACTGCTTCCGCAGGTCCCCCAAGGTCTGGAATCGGCCCTTCTCCACAATCCTCCTCAGGGTCCGGTCACCTCTTCTCGTTGTGCAGCGTTTTCTGCCACACTTTTCCCTTCCCACAGACTTCCCACTGAGGTGCCTTGATACAGCACTCTGGGAACAGCCTATTCATTCAGCAATTTCTTTCTGTGTCTTACCCTCTTGCTTGAGGGTGTCAATGATGGCCTTCTGGACAGCAGTCAGGTCGGCAGTCTTACCCATGATTGCGGTTTTGAGTAATGAACAAGGCTGGGAGTTTTTAAAAGCCTCAGGAATCTTTTGCAGGTGTTTAGAGTTACGTCGTTGATTCAGATGGTTAGGTTAATAGCTTGTTTAGAGAACCTTTTCATGATATGCTAATTTTTTGGGACAGGCATTTTGGGTTTTCATGAGCTGTATGCCATAATCATCAGTATTAAAACAATTAAAGACCTGAAATATTTCAGTTGGTGTGCAATGAATCTGAAATATATGAAAGTTTCATTTTTATCATTACATTATGGAAAATAATGACCTTTATCACAATATGCTAATTTTTTGAGAAGGACCTGTACATCCAGCTGTGACTACAACAAATTGGCTGAAAAATCAAAGAATTAAAGTGCTTCAATGTTCCGATCAACGTTTAGACCTTAACCTGAGTGAAATGCTGTGGTGGGACCTGAAGTGAGCTGAGCAGAAACAAACGTTGACAAACCTCAAACAACTACTGAGAATAAGGCCCTTTCCCATGGGCTCAACATGGCCCTACCTGGTCAGGGTTCCAAGCATGCTGCACCTAGCTGATAATTTTACGTCAGAAGACTGCAGGCCATTAATTGGCCCTGGAGCCACGGCACTTGATGAGTCATTCCAGTGACTGCTTCAAGACCACTATTTTCATTGGCCATTTTCTACAGCCACAATGACGTGCATTTTCCCAATATTTTTGTTTCTTTACCCTTGTAAGCCTTCTCTGGCTCACTTGTAACTTGAGTAGGATTAATCATACATTAAGCACCAGCATGTCAGTTGTATGGAGAACCACAAGATGGTGTAGAACTGAAGTGGGGCGAGGTGGGTTGGTCTACAGTCAACAAACAGCTTTATGGCTGCTACAGGAGGTTCTACATGCTGTCAGATCAAGGGCTGGACTGACGGGACGTGGTGGAATCTATTGTGTGTTTTTGCAAGCTTGATTAGATGTGAGTCATTTAAGAACCTGGTAAAGAGCAGATTAATAATTGTCTTGATACATAGAAGCACCAAAGTCAATAAGGGTGCGCTCCCTTTTCCCTGGCTTTAAAAACATGTCATATATGAAGAGTTCCAATCCTCCCAGGAACCTCGCATATTAGTAGGGATGGGGCCGATCCGGTATCACTATCAGCGTCTGATACCAGCATAATTTACATATCGGGTTTTCTGATTTATGATGCATGTCTGTGTCTGTTGAAACGTCTCTACATGTGGTTCCCTGCCTGCTGCTCTGCACATTGGCTTCAAACTATGGAATGAATTTCCTGAACGGAGGCATGTCTCATGAAATCCAGAGTAATAAGACCCGCCTCACATTCAGGAAATCCATTTCAT